CTTGTTCAGCTGGGCGCTTAAACTTCACTTTGCTATGCTGAGCACAGATAAGTCGACACCCGTACCAGGTACTGTCACCTGTTGGCATTGTTGGAGCAGACGTTCGCGCTCCTTGTAGCCCGTACATCGGCTATACAATCCCCGTACAGCTGATACAGCACCGCACGAGGACCCTCGGTGGCAGAGGTTTCTCTCTGTTGCGTTGACGGGAATTTCGGGAAGTGCAACATGTGCTGAGTTGGAGCTTGCTTCTGGGGTGAGCTGTGGCTAGCATGGCTTCGCACGAGCTTCTCCTCTGTAGTACAGAACACACAACTGTGCGCGGCATCCAGCAGGGAGTTGTGGCACGGTGCTATCAGCACACAGCGATGGGTGCTGAGGTGGTTGAGCAGCATTCCCCTGCCTGTTAGGAAGGCTTTCCAAACTGTTTTGTCATTCTTTGTCTTCTGCAGGCAGTCACAGATGCAGTAGCTTGCAATCGAACCTTATTTCATCCAGTCCCAAATTGCTGCAGGTGACAGACCATCCATTACAAGTCCACAAATTTCTGTTGCAGATCAGAAGGACTTTTCACGTGGAAAGCTTACTTTGTGAGGAGGGCAGAAGGGAGGACAGTTAACTAGAAGCCCGAGTCCTCTGAGAAAGGGGAGCAAACAGTACAGTTGAATTTTTATGGTAGTCTGTTCCCTGTCACCCTTTCAGGAGAGCCAAACAGCACCCCTCACTCACATCTCTTGCATGCATGTATGTTCTCTCCACCTCAGTAAAGACCTTACCTGCACAGAACTGCAATCAGGGAGAGGGAGCACATACAGTGGCCACATCTACTGTGCTCATTTAGCTTAAGCCATAACTGAGATTGTTTTGTGTCCAGCACATTACAGATGATAGCAGTATTGTTTTTATTTCTCTAAGGAGTTCTCATTTATATATCATTTATATATGTATATGTGTGTGTATATATATATATATATAAAAACACGATATTTTCCTGTGTAATAAACCAGCTGGCCTTGGGTGGGAAGTGTGCTTTGATACGGAAAAATATTTGTGTTTTCAGAACATCTGTAGTAGCTTTATTTAAATAAAAGTAAATAAACCACTGTTGAAATGGTATTTTGGTATGTTTCCAATAAACTTAAATTATATCTGAATGAAGCTTGATTCTTAGTCATTCATCATTTTCTAATATAATAACCATGTAAAACTGTTAGAAAAATATCGTTATATTTAATGCTTATGGCTATGTCTAGTTAACAAAAAATTTATTCCTAGTCTTTGATATAGTTGTGTAAAAAACCAGAATTTTCTGTTCATTGTGAAGATTGTCTTTCTGCTAATTTAGACTACGGCTTAAGTAACATTTTTAATTAAACTGTTATTTTTTTAAGGGGACAATACATCTGTTCCGCAAATCACAGAGATCATTGGTTGGAAAGTTAACACATGAGTTTAGGCTGGTTGCAGCAGATAGGAGGGTAAGTCTTTTAAAAAATGAATAATAATAAAAAAGATACTAGCTGTGATAAGTTAAAATACTTGAGTGTATTTTGAGATTTTTTTTTCTTTCAAATTTTCAAGCTGTGCTTAAGAACTGAAATCCAGCTCTGAAGCTGAATTCCTTCCTATGTATTGTCCCTGTCAATCAGTGCTCTCCAGAGTTGTACTTCTATTTAATGTGTTTGGTACAACTGTAAACTGAATATGCACAGATGGCTTTGGGACTTTAGTTCCAGCGGAAAGCAAGGAACCCTCTGATACAAAGTTGTATAAGTCTGTCAGGTGGTGTGTGCTGTAATAAAATGCAAATATTATACAGGGGTGGTTTTTGTTTTGGACCAAAAAGGTGTTTTAAGCATGATGCGTAAGTGCTGTTGATAAATGAGTTTTGAGACAATCTGTAAAGTTAAAAATAAAATATGGGCTTGTTCTGAAATGAGTTGTAGATTTTTGGGAAGGAGGAGAAGCCAGTTCTGCTGAATTTTGTAAGGTGTAAAATATATATTTATTCTCATCAACAGTCCTGGAAGATCTTGTTGTTTGGTGCTATAAATTTAATATGTATTGGCTTCCTGCTAATGTGGTGCAGCTCTACAAACAGCATAGGTAGGTGGCTCTCTTGTACTGAAACTACAACCAACTACCATGTGTTTCTTACGTTATGAAGTTCCAACATACTATAAAAGCAAAGTTCAGCACATAATGGAGTTAGGTGGCCACAAAGTCAGGTTTGGAAAGTGCTTTACTTTGATTTGCCACAGTCAGTTTAGAGTCATTTCTCAAAAGTCATCTGTCAAGGCAAGTATGGATGGGTGAAAGTCATACAAAGTTTGCAAGGGTTTCCAGACCTGCTGGTTATTTTCTTCCTGCAGTACCCATTTTAGCTTTGGGATTGCAAGAAAGTAGACTTTTAGGCTAGTCCTCAAACCTGTTCCTTATATAAATAGTTAGTGCCAGTGACACAGAGACCCTGACTTGCAGTTGAATGAAGATGTTTGTAGTGTGGCAAAATGCTTCTCTGATGCCAGGAATGCCTCTTTTCAATATTTTGTACAGGGGCTCCAAGATGCTTCCCATCACCTGTACTGAAACTAGAATGCCTTACATTTTTTAGTTTCTGACACAAGTTTTCTTGCATTTCAAGATGGGTCAGAGAAGCAAAACAAGTAAAAGGTTCTTTTGAACCTACTTTTTGGTGCAGTAATGCACATTAGGGATCTCTTGCTTTGGCAGAAGATGCCTTACTGGAAGATCTCTTGACTTCTCTGTATTTAAATTCATAGTTGCAACTTAGTCACAAGCTTAATACCTTTTCTATGTGGGCATTATTACATACTTTGTCAGAATTGGGATTGCCATAATCGATTTGTTTATGAGATTCAATATATCGGTGTGTTTAGGACATTCATACTGTATACACAGACAGGGACTTCTCTATCAGCAGACAGTTCATGTAGATAGTAGATGGAAAAGAGCTACACAAGAGGGACTTAGAAGAATGCAAGTGATGTCTGCACTGAAAAATTACATTAAGTTTTAATATTTGCTTTTTTTACAGCTTTAACTGCTTACACATATTTGACAATCTTTGACCTTTTCAGGTGAGTTTTTTTTCCATTTAGTCTTACTCTTCATTTGTGCCTATCTTTGTGTATTTCTATACATATAAAATTTATTTACAGATAGAAACACATGTTATTTAGTCATCAGTATAGAAACACTAACTGCTTTAAATATAGCTTAAATGAGTGTAAAATTGTACATCTCAATAAATACGTGGTGAGAAACTGTATTGAGAATGACTAGTAACAAATTGGTTCCATCATCTGTGCAGATGTGTAAGAATATAAAACAGAATCTAGCATCAGACTGTCACCTGCCTGGTCACTCGGAATGTTTCCCTAATGCCACAGGTGTCGGTTCTGAAGTATCCCTCAGTTTTAGCATCGGGAAACAAGTAGTATGTAATCCTATTTCTGTTTCGAAGTATTTGAAGATCTAGATCCCGTGCAGTCTTCCAATAAAATCATTAGATATTTTAAGTATTTTCTCCTGTTTTCTAATGAAATGGTATTAAAACTACTTTAAGTATGAAAGTTCTGAACACTTTTGATAATATTGATATTACAGACATGAATTATATTTAATTCTTAGCTGAGATGCAGGTTGGCAGCAGTGATTGGGAAATAAACTGCATAAAATACATGTAATTTTTAATTATTAACCTACATTATCTTCCTTGCTGGCTTACTACCGTATAAAAAGCATGGATGATCAGTCTGTTTTGCCCACTACATACAATAGCGTATCTGAGTGACAGTAAAACATTTATAAATAACAACAGCAAACATGCAGAAAAGAAAATGAACGGTTGATATAGGCACAAAAATGCTTAACTTGGTCTGTGGCTGCATTAGAGTTGTGATATAACTACAATGAATCTCTCATTTCTCTTAGAGTTTTATATCCGCTGAGTTTTGTCATCTTGGCTCAACAGCCTTTTTCATCTTGGGAAAGTTTTGATGTATTTTACATTTGTATAGAATATTACTTTTTTTGTAACTGTAGGAGAAGGTGGAATACCCCTGGCACTTGTGTATTAGGTTAATTAGGGGATGGACTAGGAGATTATTCTAACTCATAGTAATCTCTTTCTAGAGTTTTGATTTGGTATAAAGGAGAACAGTGCTCAGTAATTGTGCTGCAAAAATCAATTTCTGGTAATTTTTGTTATCTTCCTGGTCATTTATGATAGTATTACTGAGTATATGAATTTACTGTTTTGTATATGAGCAGTATTATTTCCTCTGCTTTTACTCCACACAGCTGTAGATTGGGTTGTGAGAATGTGATTTACTCCACAGCAGCTGTGGGGATGATCCAGTCTGATTTAACATTGCCATTAATTAAGAAAGGGCTGCACAGAGGCACAGATGGCACTGAATCTGGGTGGGTTCCAAATAAAAAAAAATTGTCTAAAGAAGTCACTAGTGGAAAAATAGGCAAAGGAAATGAGACTCATCCTAGAAAAACTCAGGCTAGTATCATGGGGATAAAGTAATTGGAATGTCAGATGGTCAATATGAGAGAAAAACTGGGAAAGAAAATAGCAGGAGAGACCTCTGGCAGTCAGTGGATGGCAGTTAGATTAGAGCTTGTGTAGATATATGCAACCAGAAAAGTAGATCTGTTTGGGCTATGTGTGTATACAAATAACACAGTGGAAAAGAAAGGCAATGCTTGGTTACAGCCTGACACTTGTTCTAGAGTGCTAAATCTAATTCGTGGTATATCTCTAAAAGAAGAGTTTAATGAAGAGCTTTCTTCACTTTTCACTGGGATAAAAAGGAATTGACACAAATGTGTCAGTCCTGTCATCTTGTTTATCATGTTCATTCTCATTTAAATGGCCTTTCTCAGGTTGCAGTAGTTCTAGGCAAGTATTGTGGCCCAGTAGCCACCTTGGTACTATGCAGCTGCTCGCTCACTCCCCCTGCCCAGCCCCAGGCAGGATGGGGAGGAGAATCAGAGAATGAGTAAAACCTGTGGGTTGAGACAACAGATTAATAATTAAAATGAAGTACAATATAATAATAAGAAGAAAGGAGATAACAAAGAGAGATAATCTCAAAAAAACCCAACAAACAGCAGTGATGCTCAATACAATTGCGCATTACGTGCTGACGGATGCCCAGCCCATTCCCAAGCAGTAATGGGTGGTTCGTGGCCAATTCCCCCTACATAGATATACTGGTCATGACGTGCTGTGCTATGGAATACCCCTTTGTCTAGTTTGGATCAGGTGTCCTGTCTCAGCGTCCTCCCGGCTTCCTCTCCTCCCTGGCAGAGCATGAGACTGAAAAGTCATTGATGGGGGTAAGTGTTACTGAGCAACAACTAAACCATCAGTGTACACAGTGCTGCACCAGCTACTAAGAAGAAGATTAACTCCATTGCAGCCGAAACCAGGACAGCAAGTTTATAAAGCACATGTAGAAAAGCGTTCACTGGGTGTCTAGTTTGCTATTTTCACAGGCTTTTGCTTCGTACTTTCCATTACTACGTATGACATTACTGTGTGTGATACCAGACAGTGTTAAAAGGAGTTTCTCAAAATCACCCTTGCTGCCTGTTAGTCAGATTCTGGGGTACCTGCTGTCATGTTCTCCAGGTCTCTTTTATGAAAATTCATGGAGTGCATATAGACTGAACACTGATGGTGCTTATTTGTGTCAGGGCCTCTGTTAAAATGCATTGCATTTGGAGTTATGACTCATACAGGCTGAGGGATGTTCTATATTGAAGAGGGCTGGCAGTAGCCTTTGTAAGCACATGTCCTGGGTTCAGCTACAGCAGTCATTTTTTCTCCTTCTTAGCAGCTGGTGCAGTGCTGTGTTTTTGACTTTCAGTCTGGGAACAATGCTGATAACACACCGATGTTTTTAGTTGTTGCTCAGTAATGTTTACTCTGACCAAGGACTTTTCTCAGTCTCATGCTCTGCCAGGGAGGAGGGGAAGCCGGGAGGAAGCAGAGACAGAACACCTGACCCAAACTGGCCAAAGGGGTATTCCATACCACAGCACGTCATGCCCAGTAGATAAACTGGGGGGAGTTACCCGGAAGGCCCAGATCGCTGCTCGGGTCGGGCTGGGTATCGGTCGGCGGGTGGTGAGCGGTTGTGTCCTCTCTCCTTGTTTTTCCTCTTATCATTATTATTGGTAGCAGTAGTGGTTTGTATTATACCTTAGTTACTGGAGGGCTGTTATCTCCACCCCTGGGAGGTACCATCCCTCCGGGAGCGGGGGGAGGAATAAAGTGGGGGGGTGAGCGAGCGGCTGCGTGGTTCCAAGTTGCCGGCTGGGCTTAAACCACGACAGCACAGCATGCTGTAAATGCAGCATTCAGCTTTTCCTGGTGTAAGGAATTGGAGCAACTATCATTCTGCTAAAATTATTTGCTGCCCTTTTTATGGAAACAGTTGAAACATCTTCATGCAGTCTCAGTTTTATTCCGAAACACAACCTTTCTGGATTCACTGGAACCATAGTTGACAGTGACAGTGATGGAGGTGTTGAGTTGGTGGAAAGATAATAATAAGTGGTAATATTAATTTATTCAGATCTGATGGTCGATGTGTATATTTGTAGATTATCCAGTTTGTAAAGGCTTCAGTTATTTATCATAGTGTGATTCTCCCCCTTTTTTTCAGTTTGATAACATGTCTAATAAGCTACTGGGTAATGATGAAGAAACCCAGTCCAGTCTATTCGTTTGGGTAAGTACTAATAACAAGATCTAGTGTTTGATAATACACCATGTGATACATTGCTGACTATCTTTGCTGGTATCCCCTAACAGCCATGACTAATGATTTGTGTGTGAAAGAGCCAAAAAATAAGGAGGCCCAAGACTGATGCTGTATAGAACAGGGGAGGAGCAGGAAGGGGAGGGACAGCAAAAAGAATTAGGAAATGTTGATTTTAAGCTGTTTGTGACATGTGGAGTGTTGGCTTAAAAGACATTGAAAACAATGCCCATTCCATAAAGCTTTCAGTTTGTTCCTACCTGTCTGCCCTTGAAAGAATCAGGAATAGTAGGTCTATCCTGCTGGTTCCTTCCAGGGACCAGAATGCATTAGATGCGCTGTTCAGTGTCCGGTGTTTCTAAACCTCCTTCTTAAATTTCAGGTTTGAAAGGTTTGAAGTTCTAGCCGTATTTGCATCTACAGTTCTGGCACAGCTTGGTGCTCTTTTTATACTGAAAGAAAGGTAGGGATATTTACCACTTTCTTCAACTTCTTGTGATGTATGGAGATATTCCAAGTTGAGCAAAAGCATATGCGTTCTACAGATGCACTGTCCAGAGACATAGTGTAGAAAAACCTTCAGATTTTTAAAAATAATGCTAGACCTTGCTACTCACACTCATTACACGTAGGCTTTAGATGTGGTGATAGGAATTGAAAAATTTCCTTACGCATCTTGATTTTTTAAGTTCATTAATAAATAAAACATTTTTTTAAACTTCAGTTACTTTGTAAAGCAACTTCATAATGTATTAAGGATCTGAATGTTTATAAACTTCATCAGTCCCTCAAAATTTGCTCAAGTATTAATTGGACATACCATCTACACTTGGAAGCATTTGCGTTTCAGGTGCTTAGCCTAAAAAAATATTTTAGTCTTAACAAAACCTTTTCACCTTTAAACATCTGGAATTTAAAACTGGGGCAGCGTACCTTTCATTTTTCTATTCAGGGGCTCTATTTCCTCCATGGAGGGCTATATTAACAATTTAGCGATTTTATGCTGCAGGTTGATCTGTTGTACTGATCATCTGTACTGAAATCTGCTGTGCTTAATTAAGCAATAATTTATTTTTTTTTCAGTACTCTTGTCTGTCAGGTTTTGTTTATGAATGGCGCTTAATTCTTCAGAACTGAAAAAATATGCTTTGGGTATCAAAACAAAGATGTTTTATTGTATGAATATAATTCAGATTTTCATTTATTTTTGTAGCGCAGAGCGGTTTCTGGAACAACCCGAGATACACACGTAAGAAATGATTTTGTCATGTAAAATGATGTTTTTTTCAGTGTCCCTTTGTGTTTCTAATACTTAATCTAGCATGTATTAATAATGCAAGTACATTCAACGCTAAGTTGGGTTTTGGTACTTTGGCATTTGTTTCAATCTATGTGCAAGCTGTATTGCAGTCAGTTTTTTCAAGGTAGAGTTGAAATGTAATGCACGTGCTCTCCTACATAATGATTTAACTATACATTGCTGACTTTGCTAGATTAGTTACAGTTCTTATGGAGGCATCTTAGGAGGCCTGGTATATGGGGGGGAAGGATGCTGTGATGATTAGGGAACTGGAGGTGTTGCAAAGATGATGAAGACTATGAATAGCACAGAGAGTGTGTATTCTTTTGTGTGGTTTTGGACAAAAGACTGGGCCATGATGGTGATGTATGGTAAAGCTGTAGTTCTTCTAGGAAAGGGTAGAGGTATAGGGCATAATTCCATAGAAACTAAGCTTTTTTAGCTCTACTCCTGAGGGGACAACGCATTTATATCTTCATAGGAAAAACATATATGTGTATGCATATATGCAATTAGTTAAGAACTGTTACTCAGCATTCTGAACACTACATACAGCCTAATGTGGTAACACTAACGAATGAAGTTGAGTGATCTCATACAACCCTTGAAATGATAATACACTACCAGTTATTAAGCATTACGTTAGTTTGTATTACTCTTGGTTTCAGCTTTAGTGAACAATCATTACTAGTAATTACAGCTTGATTACACATTTTGTGATGTGAGATTAAGGTACCTTTTTTTTCCCCACTGTAGGGGGCGACTGCTGGTTGGTACTTTCGTGGCTCTCTTTTTCAACTTATTTACAATGCTTTCCATTAGGAATAAGCCTTTTGCTTATGTCTCTGAAGGTATGTGGCAAATTAATGTACAACAAGAATTGGGAAAAGATTTTAATGTTCCTATTTTTATCAAGGTATAACTTGTCTGGTAACTTTCTTAACCTTTGGGAATATCTCCATTAATACAATTTCATGCAGATTAGAATTGCCATTTGATTTTCAACTCCGGTTTGCTTACAGGCTCTCTGAGTAGTATGTAGTAATATAAAAAAACGAGTAGCATTTTAATGCTGAAGTACCCTTTGTTTTCAATCTTTCGGATTCAGCCAGTGAAGATCATCTGTCAGATATCAGAACTTTGAAGACATTTTATGGATATATTAATGGATTAAAAAGAAATTATTGTAATCATTCCTCTTAATAATTCTTTTACCTGAGACTTTTCCACTGTGAAGTAGGCCTGCAGTCATTCCCACTAACTGTTAATTGTTTACAGTTGTATATTGTAATTTATATTACATAAAAGGTAATTTTAATGGTTATAATCTGCAGTTACGTTTGTACTTAATTAGCTCAGATGATTATGAGAGATGGACATTTTACTTACTGCCTGGAAAAGTAAAACTTTTTTTTTAAGTGACAGTGAATCTATTGAGATACACTTACTCATTCACAATGTATTGGGTTTTTCCTCTTAAGACTTTAAGTGTACTTTAAAATGTATGCTTTTACTCATAATAACTTTATTATCTTTTTTCTTTTGCAGCTGCCAGCACAAGTTGGCTTCAGGAACATGTTGCAGATCTTAGTAGAAGGTAAAGCTTTAAAATGTTTTTCAAAATCGTTAGTTTCTGGAAGGCAGTGTTGAGTTTTTTGTGTCTAATAACAATTTGGATCGGTATTGAGGCATAAACTGTTGTATATTAGAGCTTTTAAAATAGCTTTACTTACTGTAGGTCTAATGTAAGAACTCCGGAGCAAACATTGTCTCTCATATTTCCCAGATACATCAATCTAATCAAAATACTTCTTTCTGCACAACTTTCCCTTTGAATGCTTTCAGTACATTGTATATAATTCTCCTTTGCGGAGGTGAGGTAAACTAGCTTTGTCCTGCACAGACTTGAACTGTACCTCTCGACGTTCATTACCTGAGTGATATATTTTGTAGTATTTTGTGTTTGTTTATTCTGTGGAGTAGACAAATGACTAGGATGGTTGTCGTTTAAATGTGATACATGAAACAGCTTACCCACTGAAACATAGCTATGGAAACTCCTCACCTGTCCAGCAGGAAACTTGAATGGCTGAAGCAGTATTGCTCATTCATCTTCTCTGTTAACTCTCTTGCTAGCACTGGATGTCTGAATGTGACATAACATTGTTTGCAAATAATTTTGTCATATGTCAGAAACAGTTATTTTGAGCTCTTCCAAGTATTCACGCTGTCAGCATCAAAATGTTAAACCATATTGTATAACAAGTTAAGTATGCTGCAAAGCCCATCTGTTCCTGCATGTTGTGATTTTTGTATACAGTTGAGGAAAGCAGAGAACACTGGCTTGTTAAACAGAAGAATTGATTTTATATGGAATATAAAGTTACATCATCAAACCCAAATTCTGCAGAACAGCTTTGGAAGACTAACAATAGGGTTGTCCATGTACCTGGAGTTTAAGTATGGAAAAAAAAATGTGAATAGCAACCTCAGCCACAAGCAGAGTTTTTCTTTAACACCATGTTTCAGGGAAGGGCAGAGGTAAGTTGAAGAGCTCCCAGATCAAGAGTCTAGAATCACTGTTGGGTTTTGAGATAAAAATTGTTGGCATAATTGTCTACAGGTTAAAAAATTACTAAATTTTGTTAGTACATTTACAGCTGTTTCGGATGTGTTCTGTGAAGCAGTGTTGATTACAAGATATCTGCACCTGTATATAATTATGTTGATGAAAATTCTTACAGGAAGAGACCAGCATGTGATGTCTAAACATAGGTTGGTTCTAAATGGAGCAACAAAACATTTAATGCTGTTTTTCCTTTAAATTTTCCGGTACGTGACATGCACTTAGATTCACTGGGAAGTACAGAAACCCCTTTTTCTCTTCATGCTCTCATTGATAGGAGATATCTATAAATAAATATTTTTTCCCAGTGTTCCCTCATGAGTGTTGTGTTGTTTTTTTGTCTCTTAGTGAGCTAGCTGGTTTTCTCCCTCTTTTCAGACTCCATCAATTAGTTAGCTTTGGCTTTAGATTGAAGACTAGTGGTATGGAAACACAACCTTCCCCTACCCTGAGACTGACATATACATAATGGCAGTATCTCAAGCTGTAAAGCACTTGTGTTGCATACAGCTGACACAGTTAGCTGTGTTACTAAAAAAAGAAAGTAGCACAAGATAGGTATTCTAACATGTAGAAAAACTATAAAGATTAGTGTAGCATAACATTTTGTAGATGGGAAGAGACTTGAAGCATGTTTAAGCTGCACGAGGTACTAATTTCAGATATGAGAGAGAATATGACATGGACTTGTTTAATTTTTTCTGACATCAGACTATTACAAAACTTTGAGCAGAATTAGAAGGGCCTTCACAGTCCTCATAGACGTGATTTGCTATGACTGCAAAGTGTATTTGAAGTCAAATGCTGAAATAGTGGGTATATAACTTTGGGGTTTTGAAGTAATCCTGAACAGCTGGCTGACAACTGCTTTTTCTGTTTTGTTACAGTATTTGTGGGATCATCCCAGGATTAAGTAGCATCTTTCTGCCACGAATGAACCCTTTTGTCTTGATTGATATTGCTGGAGCTCTAGCTCTTTGCATTACATATATGCTCATCGAAATCAAGTACGTACAGTTGTTTAAAAAAAATAAACTTTTGTATCCAGTCTATGGGAAGCTGCATTTTTTACATGGAAGGAATGATCTCATCAAAGCTGTATTTTGTATGAATGGCATTGCAACTCCGTGAATATATTTATCTTTGTTCAAAGATATGTAGTTCAGATAAGATTACTATGTGTAATATTCTGTAAGTGTATATAACGTAAAAGAATGAAAAAGAATCAAAACTCTTGTGCTTTTAAAAATGTAAATACCTGGTTTTCCTTTAAAATTGTTCTTTCTCTCTAGCAACTATTTTGCTGTAGACACAGCCTCTGCTATAGCAATTGCTTTGATGACATTTGGTACCATGTATCCCATGAGCGTCTACAGTGGGAAAGTACTACTCCAGGTAAGGCAGTGTCACAAAACAAGGGATTTTGGGGTTTTAGTTTTGTTAAACATCCTTATTTAAAAAACAGAAAACCAAAAACCAACCAACCAAACATAAAGTATGTTTAAGCACTTGGATAGGAAGTGTTCCCAGGGCAATTTGTGACATGCTAAAAGAATTTTAAGGGCAGTAGAAATATGCATCATGGATTTGTTTAATGCCATTGACCTTTTGCGTGGGTAGATCAGACTTAACGGCTCTCTTACTTAACAAGGCCAGTTAATCTTTATAGAATATAATTTTTTTTTTCTCCTGTTTTTTCCCCTTCTTAAAGACAACCCCGCCTCATGTGATTGGCCAGCTAGATAAACTTCTGAGAGAGGTAAGTAGTGTATAATACATTACACAGTGTGCACAGTTAACACTAAATAAGCATTTAGGAACACGAAGAGGTTTTGTGAGAAGATTGCTAAAGAATTACTTTTTTTTTATGTTTTAGCTGCATGTAGCAAATCTGGATCTTGCTCTCTAGGATGAATAGTGTCATTGAGGTATCTGTAACAAATCTGTTGAAGTAGCGCAGGCTCTTCTTTTTATAAACAAACTTGAGTGACCATTGCGTGGTATGCAGATGTGAGTGCACCGAGGAAAAGGAGTACAGGCAGTTGTTTACTTACAGTGTATCAGGTTGCGAAAATATTGCAAGTTGGCAGCAAGAGTTACTTGAAATGAGTTACTTAAACCACTTTTTTGATGGATTCAGGTGTTGAAGGGTAGGAAAAATACAGTAGGTAAGCACTAGTGGCATCATTAATGGACATCATCTGTTCTGTGTATGGAAGCTTTTATTTCACTACTGAAAATGCTGTATTATTCAGAGATGTGTTAAAGTACATTTCCAAAAGGATTTGAAACCTTACTTCAAATTTATTTTCATGTTTCTGGATGTTTGTGTAAAATTAGGTTTCAACTTTGGATGGTGTCTTGGAAGTTCGAAATGAGCATTTCTGGACATTAGGTTTTGGCACATTGGTAAGTTATGTCTTTATTGTCTTTTTAGCCTTTCAAAAGAGTTGAGAGTTACTATCAATTTTTTATTTAAGTTTAAATAAAGTTTATTTAAATAAGATTTCAGAAACACCCCGATGGAGTTAGTACTCAGTCCCTGTGATGTATTGCAAAACTTCTCTTCCCTTGTCCTTTATGTTTTTTTTAAAGCTTCGTTATTTAATTTTATTTATGTATATTGCTGCTCTGGATTAAAGCATGCATTTTGCAATGGTAGGATTTCTTTTGTATTTTGCCAGTGGAGAAAACCTCAAACAATAGTAATGTTAGTGTAAATTGTCTCAGAGAGGAGAAGAGGAAAACTGTATACCCTTAGGTACCAAAAGTCTACAGTAGAATCATGTTTTCAGCATTTCTGGGGGAGGGGGATGAAAAAAACCCCTACAGTTGTATACTGATAGTCTGAAAGCAGAAAGAAATTAGGGGGTTTTTTTTGGTGGTCTAGAATGATCACACAGAACTCAGTTATTCTGAAGTTGATGCAGGTATGTTGTGACAGACAGAAAATTAAGACTCTTAGAATTTTCCTCTACTTCTGAATTTTTCCACTATGCTACCCTTCTTAGGAAAAGAGAAAGGTAGCAGGTCTGACTGGCTGATGTGAAAATAGCTTTCAGTTTACTGTTCTGCCACCCAAAATACTGGATCACAGCATTGTTGGATTGATCAGATATTTACAAAACCTTTGTATGTGTATTGGCACCCATTGGCATCTTCCAGCATGTAGTAGAAACTTCCTGAGTTTCCTGGGTATGTTTTCAGCTGCACCATCTGATGTAAAAATGGCTTACATAGCACAAGCTATGAATCATGTTCTTTATTAAATAGAAATTGAATTGAAAAAGCATGTGAGGGGTTGTGGTTTGCATCCTGTTCTCTTCTGAAGCAGTACTTTGGGGTGAATGGGGTAGTATTAACAGGGAGGAAGTCAGGGGCAGCCCACAGTCCAAGAGAAACTCTTAGTCTGAGTTCCACAGTGGGCATTGCCTCTGTTCTTGCTCATGGTCCTGATTTGAGCATGTCTGCCGTGTGTTGCCCTCTTGCCTTCTGCAACAGCACAGGGGTGGTGCTCTCCTAAATTTGGCATACAGAGTTTGTCTGCACTTTGTTCTTCTCCTGGGACATGTGTTTTTCCTGGCTGTTTTCTTTCTTTTCCTGGCATCACATTTGTATTTTATAATTTGGTTTTAAGACTCACTTTTCCTGAATAATGATCTTGATATGTTCATAAAAGTTCAACACGCTAGGAAAGATCAAAATGTATCCTACTTACGGAAGCATTAAGTAAGTTTCTCAACTTAGTAGTCTCCACTGTGAAAGATTTTTGTGTAATTCTCTGCAGGATAACTTACCTCATCTTGAATTTATGTGGAGCATCTTTACTGAAGTAACAGTTAACAGCCAGCTTGTTTTTGTCACTTTCTAGGCTGGATCAGTACATGTCCGAATTCGGAGAGATGCAAATGAACAAATGGTACTTGCCCATGTCACTAACAGATTATACACATTGGTCTCTACCTTGACTGTTCAGATTTTCAAAGATGACTGGATCAGACCTACCTTATCATCTGTGCCTATTGCAAACAGTATTCTGAACATTTCGGATCATCATATTATTCCAATGCCATCTTTGAAAGCTGCTGATAATTTGAACCCTGTTACATCCACTCCAGCTAAGCCCAGCAGCCCACCGCCAGAATTTGCTTTTAATACACCAGGCAAAAATGTGAGTCCAGTCATCCTTTTGAACACTCAGACAAAGCCCTATGGATTGGGCTTAAATCATGGATCCGCACCCTACAGCAGTGTACTCAACCAAGGACTTGGAATACCAGGAATGGGAGCAACTCAAGGATTCAGAACTGGTTTTACAAATGTCCCAAGCAGATATGGAACCAACGCTCGTGGTCAACCCCGACCATAATAAACACCATTATTTATTGTACTTAAGGGTATTGACTTAATTCTTTTATTACCCAATTTTTATAAACATTTGGAATGTCAGATCATTCTAAATGGCTGGGAACAAGTGCATTGTTCATATTCATGAAATGGTTAAACTGCATCAGCAGTAGCCTGTGTAATGTCACAAATATTTTCCAGACTTAGGATACTTTACAGGTAGCTTTTATAGAGTGTCCATTTCTGTTCAGCTGTTTATTCACTTTTCATTATTTTCCCAAGAATGGATTGAGATTCAGCACAACTCCATTAGAGAGTAAAATTGTGAACAGGCAGCATTTTTTTTCTAATGAGAATTGCTTAATAGAAACTAAGCTATTAAGTGGTTCAGCATTAAATTCACTGAATGCTGAATAGCTGAGAGAATAGGAAATTGCAGAAATACAAGTCCCAGTTCTTAGATGTTTTGATTGCTGTATTAAGCCAACTTTTGGCAAAGTCACAATTAGTTTTGGTTGCAAAACTCCATCAATATTCATGTTGTGGCCATTGTGAAGACAATCTGGCATTTCAGATTCTAGTTAGGTTTGTGAGACCATGTTTTTACATTTTGATTGGTGTTTTTATAG